TCGGAGGGAGGAGGAGGGTATCCTGGGAGGAGGCAGATGCAGGGGACTCTCTGCTGCCACTGGCACCCCGCCCCCTGTCCACACTCCCCAATCCCGTGACCCCAGCTACAGAGCTCTGTTCCCACTCTCGTCCCCAGCTACAGAACTCTGTCCCCATTCCCGTCCCAACTCCCCGAATTCTGTCCCCACTCCCCTGTCCCCAGCTACAGAACTCTGTCCTCATTCCCGTCCCCACTACCTGAACTCTGTCCCCATTGGCACCCTGTACCCTGCTGCAGAACCCTGTCCTCTGCCCTCCCAGCACCCTGTTCCCTCTCCCCAGCCGCAGAACTCTGTCTCCACAAAATGTGTAATTATAAATGCTTCATTTTAGATTTAAATAGCATGAATAAAAAACAGACCATTTATTTCATAACTATAAACATGTGATTTTAATTTTCTATATCGCATAATTTAAAAATAAACTGTATCAGAGTGTGTAAGTAAGGGCTGGGGGTAGCAAGTGATGGACAGGAGGAGAATAGAGAGGGCGGGGCTTTAAGGAAGGGGAGGAGCGGTAGATCTTTGCCTGTTCTGAGATTTAAAAAGTGATCTTCGGTGTAAAAAGGTTGGAGACCACTGACATAAACTAACAGATATATTGGAGCATAAGTTTTCATGGGCAAAGACCCACTTCGTCAGCTGCATTACCTCGTTTGCAAAATGCCCTGAGATCAACTGATGAAAAGTACTATGTAAGAGCTAAGTATTAGTTAAAACAAATTAGTTAGCACTTTTTGACTTGGTGCTGTACAAAACACAGATGCCCCCCGAAACACTTAATATGAAATAGACACATAGGTGTAGTAGGTAATTGTTTTTTAAAAGAAAAAAACCTCATGTTTTGAGAAGTAGGTTCTGCATACTGGCGTTTGGTATTAGTGGGCCCCTGGAAAAAGCCATTTGCCCGGGTCCTCCGCTGCTTTGCTCAGCGTCTCCCTGGTTTGCAGACCAGGGAGACGCTGAACAAAGCGGCGGAGGACCCGGGCGGGACCGCGGCACTGATCTGGAAGCGCCGCAGTCCCGCCCGGGTCCTCTGCGGCTTTGCTCAGCATCTCCCTGGTCTGCAGACCCCCTCCTCCCCCCCAGCAGACCAGGGAGAGGCAGAGCAGCTTTTCTCGCCCCGGAGAATGGGGGCGGCGGGACCGGGCATCTGCTGCTCCCATTGTCCGGCCCCCCCAGCAGACCAGGGAGAGGGGGAGCAGCTTTTCTTGCCCTGGAGGAGGCGGGTGGCGGGACCAGGCGTCCCGCCGCTCCAGTCCTCCGGGGTGAGAATATCCCCGTTGGTAACTGCGGATCCGACGTAAGTCAGATCCGCGTAACTCGGGGACTGCCTGTACTTGTGCTCCATTCCAACCACACTCCATATTATCTGGCACAGTATGGTATGGTGTCTGTTGGGTATGTTTAGATATTGATCAGAGTTAAGATTGTAGTATCAAACAGGTTTGTACATCACACCTCTATTTCCTGGTTCATAGACAACTCATTATAGGGACATTTGTATGCAGTGTAGTTGTAGCTGTGCTGGTCCCAAGATACAGTATTAGAAAGTGGGTGAGGGAATATATTTTATTAGACCAAATTCTGTTGATGAGAAAGCTGCTCTCTTACCCACAGAAGTTAGTCCAATAAAAGATTTTACCTTCACTCTCCTTGTCTCTCTATAGGGACATTTGACATTCTGGAAGGGTACAAAGCAGTGATTGTCAACCTTAACTCTGCAATAATGAAAATATTCTACAAATATATTAGAAACAAGAGGACGACCAACAGCAGGGTAGGCCTGTTAATGAACAGTGGAAAAACAAAAACAGAAAATGTGCAAATGGCAGAGTTGCTGAGCCATTTTGAACTCTTATCCTGTTCTCCACATTGCTTGCAACACATCCAAGAGTCTTGTAATCTAGAACTTTAAGCATACTCTGCACTCCATTACCCAATGGATAAGTGAAAATATTGATTAGGCCTGGCCTCTGTGTGATCCCACTAGATATACTCTCCCAGATGGACAGAAAAGCATTGATAAATTTGAATACAGTCTTTCTACCGGTTGAGCACCCAACAGAGTAATTTTAGAGCACGTTTCCCTAGCGCAGAGTTTCTTAAACTTCTTAAGACCAAGGAACACCAAACAATTTTTTTTATGAGGAACACCAAGGGTTTTTTGTTGAGGGCAGCCATTTTGAACTCTGTTATTCTCCACAGCACACTGGTGTGCCACAGAACACAGTTTAAGAAACATTGCCCTAGCGTGTGTATGAGAATGTCAGGTAGTGTCAGAAGCCTTACTAAAGTTAAGATGGTTCAAGTCTCACGCTTAATGAGAATCCTCACTGAGGTGACTACAGCCTGACAATAGCTAGGAGACATGTGAACAGCTGCACTCATCGCAGTGGGTGTTCTGTGGCTCCTGTGACTATTTACCCATGTCCCTGTTGCTAAATATATATTTTCAAGACTATCTCCTTGTGCATGTGACTTTTGCAGCAGTTTACATCTTGAGGGTAGCTCTGTATTATGGGGGCTTTACCCCTTTTGTACAAATGATCCCAAGTTTGTACCACATATTATATCCCAGCCCCTGGTGCAGCATCCCCGTTTTGAAAGTAATTTAGCTATGCATGGGTTTTAGAGTATTTTGAAAACTGCAAGTAGCTAATCTGTGCGAATGGGTGCTGGGCATTAGCTTGGGTGGAAGCACTGACTATGGATGGGCAATAGTAATTCTAAGAATGGTAAGTCTCTGTGTCATATTTGTCTATACACAGAAGGGGGACAGTTACATCTGAGAACTTACTTGCAGCTGGAGGCAGTCCTATAGTCCCACTCCTGGCACCAGAAGTTGTCAACCTTGCTTGGTGGATCTTCAGTGGCTCATCCCTCCAGCCAGGTGTCTCAAGTCAAAATTAACCTCTTGTTGCATAGCTAGAAGTCCAACAAATGAACAGTTTCTCTGTTCTCATAAGAGCCTTCAGCTCCAGCACCTGTGAATTCAGTCCTCCTCAGGTTTCTAAATGAGCTCTGTACCCATCTGGGGGTTTGGGTTAGTTAGGCTTTACCCCCCCTCACTTTGCCAGTGGGAGAAGCCAGGACCACCCACTACTTCAGTTTTCAAGCCTGTAACTATAAACAGCAGCCACATACTGTTCAATTCAATGTGTTATTGCTGCTTCCCTGGGTTTCTTTTTACATGCCCTTTTTCTCAGGGTCAAAGTTCTCAGGTTCCTCTCTTTCTCCAAACCAGGATATGGCTTCCAGCCAATAGGAGCTGAGAGATTTTGCTGGGGAGCAGGGGCAGCATATGAAGCCTTCCCTTCCTGTGGGAGCAGAGAGCCACGGGGAGAAGCCAGCTGCTTAGTGGCATGGTGCTACTGCAAAGTAGCTGGCTGCTGTGTGCTAGAGAGTCCCAGTGAGGGGGCCAGATCCAGCCTGCAGGCCATATCTTGCTAGCCCCTAGTCTAGGCCCATGTCCTGGTCCCTGACAGGGACCAGTGCCACGTGCTTCACAAGGTACAAGAAACCCCAGAATAGACAATTATGGAAAGACCTGTCCATAGGGGAAAAGAGCTTTACTTTTGCTAGCCCAGTGGTATGCACACCCCTAGGTGTGTACACACATCTTCCCATGGGCACATAACTCCTCTGTATACTTGCCTAGTTTTACAACAAGTTACATGAAAAAAATCACTAGCAAAGTCAGCACAGACTAAAATTTCAGACAAGTTGAACCTCCCAAATTCAGGACTCTCTGGTCTAGCTGGGATGTTGCTGGACCAAAGATCCCCAGGAGTGGGAGCCAGCCGAGAGAACGTGGTATTTGTGGAGTCTTGGCTGAGCCAGCAGCAGCTAGGCAGAGGAACCCTGGTGTCAGTGAGGCCAGCATCGGGGAGCCTCCACCCTGGCTAGGGAATCCCAGTGTCAGTGCGGTCAGGCAGTTAGAGAAACCCCGGGCACCAGGGCTGGTGACAGCCAGGAAACCCTATGAGCCCCCCGGCAGCAGTGGGGCTGGGATGGCCAGGCAGCCCTGACTGGGAAATTGCAGTGGGGTTAGGCAGTGGGCTCAGGAACTCCGGCTTGGGGACCTCAGCAGCAGGGCAAGGAGGCAGCCAGGGAGTCCCAGCAGATGAACCTCAGCATCAGTGGGGACAGGCAGCATCAGGGAGCCTCCACTCCAGCCAGGGAACCCCCTGTGTCAGTGGGGTCAGGTGGCCAGAGAGACCTTGACAGCAGGGCTGGCAGTGGCTTTGGTGGTATTGGGGCCAGGCTGTAGCAGCTGGGCAGCCCAGAGATGGGAAAACCCAAGGAACTACTGGAGATAGCTGGGCTGGTGGCAGCCAGACGGCCCTGGCTGGAGTACCCTTGAGAGCCCCCAGAGGAGCAGGCAGGTAGCAGGACTGGGAGCCTTACCCAGCCCGTTTTAGAGGCGCAGTGGCAGGGCAGGGAGCCCCAGTGAGAGGAGCTGGCAGCAGGGCAGCCAGCGGGTGAGCCTTGACCTTCCCTGGTCCAGGATGGCTCAGTTCCCTAGAGTGCTGGACCAGGGAGGTCCAACCTGTACAGACGGTGACTCGTGTATACTGTACACTGAAAGAGAAGTACAATATCTACAGTTCAATTGATTTACTTCATAATTGCATGACAGAAAGGAGACAAAGTCAGCAGGTTTGCACGAAGAGGATGTTGTGACCCTTTATATTTTTGCCTGATTTTATAAACAGGTAGTTGTTTAGTCAGATGAAACTTGGGTTATGCAAGATTTTTGAGATGCCTGAAAAGGTGCGTGGTAGTCTGGAAAGCCTGAGAGCCACTGCTCTAGCCCATTCACTAGTCACTCTGTATCACATCCCCTCTTGTCTCCTTTCCACAGTCCTTCATTTTTGTCACCCATTTCAAAACTTCCTCTGTATTTGCTTGATTTTTTTTGAATGAAAGCAAACAGACAATGTAATATGCAGGGCATCCCATTGCTTTATGTAGGAGTGTTATATTGATTGCATTATTTTCTTTCCATTCCTTATGCATAGGGTCCTACCAGATTCACAGCTCAGGAGAAACAGAGTCACTGACTGAAATCACCTTCCTCCTGTGAAATCTTGTATTTTGTATCTTTCTGTAACTTGCTATACAGATTTCATGGGGTTAGACCAGCAGTCCTCAATATGAGGGTCCTTATCCCAAAGGAAATGGTAAAGGGGTCATGAGGTTATTGTATGGAGGTTTCAATATTACCACCCTTACTTCTGTACTGGCTTCAGAGCTGAACAGCCAGAGAACAGCAGTGGGTGTCTGAGTGCCCAGCTCTGAAAAAGCGGCGAGGAGTCCTGTGGCACCTTATAGACTAACTGGTCTATAAGTTAGTCTATAAGGTGCCATAGGACTCCTCACCGCTTTTGCAGATTCAGACTAACATGGCTACCCCTCTGATACTTGACAGCTCTGAAAGCAGCACCCCGCCAACAGCAGCACAGAAGTAAGGGTGGCAGTATCATGCCATCTTCTTCTGTGTCACTGCCTAGCTCTGAAGGCAGCGAAAGTTGATGGCTGCTGACTGAGGGCCTTGCTCTGCAGGAAGCAGCACAGATGTAAGAGTAGCAATATCATACCATGCCATCCTTCTTTGCTTTTGCTGGCAGCAAGTTCTGCCTTCAGAGCCTTCACAGCCATAAGCAACTGCTCTTCAGCTCTGAAGACAGTACTGCCGCCGGCAGCTGCATGGAAAGGTTGGAATACTGCAACCTCCCCTTACAATAACTTTGCCAACCCTGCCCCCACAGTTTCTTTTTGGGTCTAGATCCTTACACCACCACCACTGTGAAATTTCAAATGTAAACACCTGAAATCATGAAATGCACACATTTTTTAATCCTATGACCATGAAATTGACCAAAATGGATTGTGAATTTGGTAGGGCACTACTTATGCACAAACATTTTGTTTTCTCCCTTGACTGCTGCTACACATTGAGCAGGGCTTTTTGAGCTGTCTATAGTGGATGAATCCAGAAGGTGAAATGAATCCGCTCTATTTGCCATCTCCCTGCCATAGCATTGTAAGCCTGTCCTAGCAAGAGAGAATAACCTGTCTAGATCTGCTCAGAAAAGCCTCATCTTTGTGTCTATGCTTCAATAGGTCATTGTGGAAAAGGTCTCAGGCTCTCAGATTGTTGACATTGATAAGAGGAAATATCTGGTTCCATCTGACATCACTGTGGCCCAGTTCATGTGGATCATCAGGAAGAGGATTCAGCTGCCATCTGAGAAAGCAATATTCCTCTTTGTAGACAAGACGGTCCCACAGTCCAGGTGAGAAGCCATTAGACTGGAATTTGTATGTATTTCATTAAGGATACATAAGCACAAGAGACCTGTGATATTAGTGTTAACCCCTCAACATGATATACTGAGGAGCTGCTTACTGAGGAAGTAAAGAAAGAATGGTTTGCTGTTTTAATATCATTGCTCTCATTTTTCTCATTTAAATGCTGGCAAAATACTTTAAAACACTTTCTAATTTGTAAGAGTTAAGCTGGAAGAAAAGATGATTGTAAAGTATCTCATTTATGACATGCATCAGGGAAGGCTGGTGAGGAAGGCTATTCAGATGCCATGTAGGAATCTGAAGTATAGATGGTGTTTAACAAAATGGGCAGCACTTCAGCAATAGTTCAGTATTTATTTTAGTAACCTGGGGAGAGGGTCACTAAAATCCTCTTAGATTTCAATTTTCTTGGGACGAGTCCTGTGCTTACTGTTAGTCTGCAACACCAAGCATGATACTAACAAAGTTCCATTGGGAGTACTGATGTTGCATGACTAAATGCTCAAAAGTGAGTATCAGTCAGGATCAGGGATGTGAAAGACTAGTCAACTATCCTATAAGCAAATGGGGGGGGGATGAGGTGGGAGTACTTCAAAGTGACAGCACTGCATGGAGCCTGGGTCCCCCTGTTGATCCGGGCTACATGAGGAGCCGCTGCTCTGAAATGCCATGAGGAGCCTGACACCAGACTCTCCATAGCATTTCAAAGCGGCAGCACCACCTAGAGCCCCGGTCAGCAGAGGAGCCCCAGCTGACCCCGGGCTCTGCGCAGTGCTTTCGCCTTTGAAGCACAGCAACAGACTGGGCTGTTGCTACACTTGAAAGGCAGAGGCACCCCCTTGACTATACAATTACAAGAGACCCCCGACTTGCAACGCGATCCGTTCCTGGGGAAGCACTGCAATTCAGGAGCGTTGTAACTTGAACCCTCCTTTAGGATAGGCGCGCTGTGCCTGTCGTAAATGCGGGCCGAGGACATAAGTCGGGGGTTTTCAGCCCCTTCTGCACTTACAAAAATGGTTACAGTGCGGGGTGTCAGAACTCAGGAAGTCGCTTCTCAGGGGCCTCCTGTAGTCAATTACTCGCAATTTAACATTCCTAGTCAGGATTCCTGGAATAACCCTTAAATCTGCCCCTGGTATGTATGAATCACTATGGAGCAGAATAATCAGCCATACAGCCCACAGCAAGCAGGTTGCGAGAATGTGTGGGGCCAAGGAGCCTGCAGAACTGCCAGAGCCAGTGGTGCCAGGTAGCTGGGGAGAGGCTGGCCCTCTTCTCTCCCAACCCTCCCTCCCCTGACCTTCCCTGCTTGGTGTCTCTAATCTGATCATCCTTTTATTGCAGTATCCCCTCTTTGGGTGTGTCTCTCAAATGTGAGATGTAACCTGTCCATCTAATTAATCTGTGAAAGGAGTGTTGAATCTGTAACAAAGGCATGTTTTTGCCAAATGTTAACAAAAAACAAGGTTGCATGGGGTCACACAAGGTTACATAGGGGTCACACACTTCTTGCTTCTGTAGGTCAAGCTCATTTCACATATTGGGTGGGGAGTGTCCTTGTATTCCTCCATGTCCTTATATGCTTCCTCTGTGCCACTCTGCTATTCCCCTCTATTTAAAAGACTCATTACAACACACATACCTGTTTATGCCTGGGGCCTCGTGTGCCCCCCCTCCGTCAATAGCCCCAGCACCTTCACCTCAGAGTTGAAGTCCTTCTTGAGTCAATCCTGCCAGCCAGGAGCACTGTCCTTGCTCCAATCAGCAACTGATCTGTTCTGTGTAGCAGCTCCTTTTATATGAGCCTGCTGGGCTCTGAATGACTGCTTCCCTGCAGTCTCTCTCTGCAGCCTGGAGGACTCACCTCTACTGCTCTTTCCTGGGATGGGCTGTGGTACAGCTACAAGGCCTTTAGCAGGGGGTCTCAGGGCCTGTACACACATCACATCCCCTTATTCACTACCCCCCCCCCCCCATGCCAGGGTCGCACATCCTCTCTCCTCCTTTGTGTGTATCCTCTCTTCCTCTCGGTGCCTCTTCATTCCTTCTTTCCCTGAACTATTCTTCTTTTCTTTCTTTTTCCGGGTGTCACCATTTTGAAACTTGTGGAAGGGAGGGTAGAGCTATCATGAGTATATTAGACTGGCATATGCTACTGGTGGTGTCCAACCAAATAGCCACATTGTTCTAGCCAATTAGCCACAGTCAACCCACCAAATAGCCACATGTGTTAGCGTGTTGGACACCACAGTGTTACTGGCTGTCATCAACTGATTCCTTGATTTTTAGACAATTACAGAAGTGGTTGATGCTAACCAGATGCCAGGTGTTCATGTGTCCTCCATTTCACCCTCCCTATTTTCTGCTTCCTACTAAAATCAACAAGGTAAATTCTGCCCATTGTAGCATAACACATTCCTTGAGATAGCTAGGATGTGGTGTTCAGGAATCATTGTGTTACCTCAAAACAAAGAAATGCTGTCAAGGAGGGTAAGCCTCATTCACTCAGCTTTGCTGAGAATTAACCCCCCCCCCCTCAGCTATTCATCTCCTGCTATTACAGTCTCCCCAGGCCATCTGCGGGGGGATAAAGGTGACTGTCCAATGTAAACAACAAACAGGATATAAAACCTCCACAAAAGAGTTTACACAAAACTCTCCAGCTATTATACACCATAAAGCAGCATAAGAGGTGTCAGGATTTTTTCTTCTCCATTTTAAAGATCACTTAATACTCAACACACACACCCCTCCTACAAAATCTCATTAAACCCAAAGTTACAGCTATTTGGATAGACAGCACCGAAACAGCCTGTTAAGTACAAGATGCACACTTAGGACAGTGGTATATAGTGCATGTCCTTTACCGCACAATGAATGAGGCATAACTTCTATAGATACCATTGCACACCTTACGTTGTAGTGAATAAGGCACAGTAGAAACATTGCCGCCTTCTATGTAGATCAACTCCTTCATTATGCCCTAAGGTTAACACCACACATATGCTAAGTGCATCCTTCCTTTCTTTGGAATAGGATTCCCAAAATACTGGAACTGCATAAAACTAATCTCAAGCCTTCATCATGTGGTCAAATCAAAACTTGCTTTCACATGAACACTCAAAGCCCTCTCTCATCAATGAGGATTAATTTCCTGCCAAATTTAAACTTGCTACAGACATTTTGAAGCAGGAGTTACTCAGATTAGTCTTTAGTAGCAATGACATCCCAGGACTTCAGCTTCAGCATTTCTAGACTGGAAACATACTGGTGCATTAGGCTTCAAACTTCAACTACTAAAAATCTACATTTGTGAAGGTCCACAAACTTTAATAGTAAACATTCAGGCATATTGCAGTTTTCCAAAAATTCTCTATGAATGTGAGTGCTAGACCATCTTCTAGAGCAACTAGGGATATCGGTGAGGTCTAAGGGATGTGGCTGCTTGGCTGCATGTCTCTCTGGAATCAGTAATGTTTCAGATTTTCTCATTCGTGTATGTTATTGATCTTACCTTTCTAGTCTAGAGCTTTGTTTTTCATTGATCCCCCTTTCTCTGTATGCCATGCAGTAATTGTTACCATGTGCAGATCTGCTGCCTAGAGCAATTTCTCATTGTTTTCTTTTTCTTCCCCTCGTTCAAGCCTAACTATGGGGCAGCTTTATGAGAAGGAGAAGGATGAGGATGGATTCTTATATGTGGCCTACAGTGGAGAAAACACATTTGGCTTCTGAATGCTGGGGTCTGGCTGCTGCACCATCCTTCTGTGTATTTTGTAAATAGCCAACCATTTTCAGTTACTACAGCCACAGAGGCTTCTCCCATACACATCATGCATTTGTAACTGGATTCATTTCCTAATATGTTGATAGGTCTTGTTTTATTAGACTGGTAAATTATCAGGGTTTTGGGTTGGGGGGCGGGGGGCGGGGAGGGAGTGTTCCTTTATTGTGCATTGTCCTCATGGCTATAAGTTCCCAGAGCTTCACGCCTCTGGAACACACATTTAATGGCATTGTTTATGTATTAATGCAAAGTAGGTGGGCTACTAAAACATGAAAGAGGAATATGCATTTATTCTCAATTTAGTTTGAGGTGTTAACTTGATAAGAATTAAAATATTAATTATTCTTAGTCATGGGAACACTTGCTTCACTAGCTTATTCTGAGCAATAGCAAGATGCTTATCATATTGAACTGAGTTAATGTTCCTCTGAGTTCTATTAAGGAATAACTACAATAAAAATTCCTCCCACACACATGCTGTTATGTGGCCAATGTCCTTTCTTTACCTTGATTTTGGCCAGCAAGTGGTGTGTCAAGATTCTGCAATGCACTCTGATGCACACAAAAAGAGGAGGGGATTTGTTTTTTGGACCAAACTACCATGACTGGAGCAGCCAGTCATTAAGGAACTGCCAATGGAACCCAGATGTCCGGCCAAAGATGCCAAGGAGAGAACTGGACCATGGCATTGTATATATGGGAAAAGGCTGACAGTCAAGATACTGGACAAGACATGCTGGGGCAGAAAAAGACAAGACAGCAAAGCAATGGGAAAAATAATCCACTAGGTAGGAGATTGAGATTATATGAAGAGAAACAGGACAACTTTTTTCAAAATCAGTGATTGCACAGAAGAGAAATATTATATAAAGCCTGTTCCAGGTAAGCAACTGCTTTAGCTATTTCATGATTGTGAATGGGAAGGAATATGTTCCCAAGACAACTCTTCTGTTCTTTCAAGTAAAAACAGTTCAGACTGGAATTAGCAGAAGTGGTGCAGGCCAAAGGTGAAAGAAGGTTGTATTACCCTTTCAAGAAGTTTCTCATACTATTTCATGAACATGAAAAGCTACTCCAAATTCACGACTGGAAAAAAGTAGAGCCACATCATAGATCTCGGTGGATAAATCTGTGTAGCAGCTGGGAGCTAGAATTCTCAGGGTGGGCAGCCAAACACACAATTGAGTTAGCATA